CACATTTATCAATATTATCGAATATTCGAAGATGATTGATCATTCGATGAAGTTCTTTTTGAGTTTTTATATTATCCTCTGTTGAATTAACATTTTTATCAAGCCATAAACATGCGAATGATTCAAGATTAGAATTCATCGATTGATGAACAGATTTTGTTGAACTTGATATTGTAGTTGATGAATTATTGCTGGTAGACATTAAAGGAAAAAAACGAAGAGTCGAAAAATAAAATCCCATATTTGTTCTTCACTTTATTTTGCTTTCTATGTAAAACAATATGATGTTTGATGTGCTCGCTTACCTATACTGTTGGATTAAGTATTTTTCATTTTCGTTCTTGTCACAACAGTTGTAAGCAAACTCTTCTCATACATCGACGATGCCTACGCAAAGAACGATAACTGATAACAATTACAGTTGACAGTTATTTTGAAAAAAGAGAAGAGATTAACAGGTAAGGTTACTCATAATATTTTGGGATTTTGTTTTAGTGTTGAGAATAAATTGAAACACGTTGTTTTCAAATAATGACTTGTTTGATCAAAAAAATTCATCATGAATAGCTAATCTTATTGGATACATTTAAAGGGACTATTTTCAAGAAGAGAAGGATAAGATCAGGGATCGATACAATGAAACCTTTCTAAATAATAGAAAAATATAATTATACATATTATTGTAGAAAAAATACAAAAAGGTTTCTCATAAGTTTTGTCATTTGACACTGAAATATTGATAAAAGATATTAAAATATTTATTAAAGATCGTTTAAGAACATCAACATTAACCTAAAAAGTAACAATATGTAAAATCACTCAAAACAAGTATCGAGATCGTTGTGTGTATTGAATATTTGGGTGACAACTTATCAGAGATATAAATCAATGCATAGTTTTATACAAACAATTAAAAAATCAATTATTTTTTCACCAGTAAGAAACGAATCCTGTTTGTACTCATCTAATTCTTAAGGCTGAGAAAACCAATACTGTAATATTGTTTGAAATTTAAAATTCTTATATGATATAGTAATTATTAGTAAATGATTTAAGTATTGTAGAAGTTAATTTTAAGAATTTAATTTCCTAAATCATTTTAGATCAAATATTCATAGATAATATTATCCATAGATTTATTCCTTGTTTATAACATAATTCAAAAACAAAAATATGCGAAAAATAAGAATAAACAACAAGAAGAAAAACAAAACCGTTTGTTTTAGGGAGTAGCACTATTTAAAAAAAGAGAGAGAGAGAGAGAACACAGACGTTGAAAATACAGAGAGAGAGAGAGAGATATTGAAAATAGCATGACAAAAACAAAAAAAAAAAGATGAATTTTCGATCATACTTCTTCTTTATGTCTCCTTGCTGATTTAAGTGCAACAAATTCTTTAGCTAATTCATCATTAGTTCTATGTGATAATATTCTCAATATAGTTAAACCAGTATCATCAAAATTAATACGAGAACCAAGTGGAATCCATGATGACCATGAACCTTGTTCACAAACTTGTGTTAATTTAATAACATTTAATCCAATAATACGATCTTCACGCATAAATGAATAATCTTTTACAGCAATGTTTAATTCATAACAATCTGGTTCTTCTTCATTACCCAATAGACTAAAACAAAAAAGAAAAATAAATTTTTTATTCAAACAAAATAAAAAAAAAAAATAATTTACAAATGAAAAGTTTCATTATATTTTGGTATCCATGTATTACTCTTTGTTTTAGTTGTATGTTTTCGTTTTTTATCATGTAAATGAGGACCACACATAGCTAATTCAACATAAGGACGAAACATTCCAGTTGTACGCCATTTAAGACCATTTGCAGCAACAACTAAATTATAAGAATAAAAATCAAAATCTTTTTTTTTTTTTTTTTGTTTTTGTATTTGAAATACCTTTCACTGTAACTTTATGTTCACCAGTACCTGGATGTGTAAATAAATCAACTTGAATTGATACTTCACCAAAAGATTCTTCAAATGCTGGACGATCTTGAATAAAAAAACAAAAAAAAAGAATTTCAATCAATCGATAAAGAATAATTTTTGTATGATATTACCTTGTTCTTTTTCAGTTTTAACAAATGTTTTAATTAATGAATCAGTTGTTTGTGTATATAATGAAAGAGCATATTTAAGTGATTGTAATTCAGCAGTTTTTTCTAAATAATTTTTCTTTAAACCTTGTCCAGATGCATGAAAAAATTCTTTTAAATCTTCTAAAGCACGATCTAATATTTGACATTGTTTTTGAGTCAAACTTCGATCATTATCTCGACCTAATTCCTATTTTAATACAAGATTTATATGTATATATATATCATTTTGATTGAATAAAGACAAAAATAACTAACCCCTGATAAAAGTCGATAAGCATCTTCAATTTTAGCTGCTGGAAGTGTTAAAAGATTTTTTGAATCAGCAAATGGTGGTAAAACAATAACTTTTTCTAAATCACTAATTACAGCTTTCCATAATTCTTTGAGAAGACGTTTAAATACAGTTGGTTCACATGGCTTTGATAAAAATATTAATCTAAAATAATAATGAATAAAAATTAATACGAATAACAATTATTTAATTAACTCTTATGTGACTAAATTGATTTTTCTATTCGAATTATATCTAGAATTAATTGTAGAAATGAAATGAACTATTATTGAATTATATCCTAAGAAAAATTGATTGTTATTTTCTAATTATTAAAGTGTCTTAACTTTTTTTCGAATTTTGAAAACATTCTTATGGCTCTTTTTTTTTTCTCTCTAGAAAACTTGAGAAAAATAAAATTTATTTATTTACATGAAAAGTCGATCGATTCCTAAACTAATCATCTATTAAAGTAATCGTAAGTATATATCAGATAACCGATAATGAATGACCGCTTTTTACATCTCATATTTTAATAGGCTGTAGTAAAAGAACAATATATATCACAAGATGCAATGTGAAAAGCTCTACAATTTACACACTAAAGCTTACTGTAATTGTTTTCAATTTAAAATAAAAGGAAAATTCTCTGCGATCAATTTTCGTACATTTAAAATTTGATTGCTCCAAATTTTTGTCTATTTTGAAAACAAAAAATGCAACTGTAAGAAAAGCTATCTTATGTATATTGTAGAGCTTTTCATCCTACATCTTGTGGTATATTTTCTTTTTTTAATAGAACCTATTTATTGATTAAAATATGAGATATAAAAAGTAAATATTCATTATTGATTACTCATTAATTTAATATAAGAAAGAAAATAAAAAAATTTTCATACTTTTGATCAAGATATTCCAATAATGTTTTAGTAACAATCATAGCTTCAGCACCTTTTTGTTGTCCACTATTATTTCCCATACCAATTTGATTACCTTTTATTTGTTGTAATTGTTTATAAACTTCTTCAATTGTTTGTCTTATTGTTGGTTCAATACTTTTAACAAACATAGCACTTAATTCATCAAGTACATCACTTAATTGTTTTTGTAATTCAGTAAGTTGAAATTTCGTTTCATTATCTAATTGTGTACCACCCATTAATTCATATAATTGTTCTAAATTTAATCTTAATTGTTGAATATTATTCATTAATATACAACAAATAAGATCTTCTCCACCAACATGTTCAAATGTTCGACGAATTGCATTTGCATATGCAAGTAAAACTTTTGATATAGTTACAGAAAAACGTTGCATATATGCTGCAATAACAATTGGATCATGAAGATCAAGATTTTTTATTATACCATGACATTGATTTAATTGTGTAAATACATCAACAACTGATGATGAAAATAAACAATGTTCAGATGTTTGTTGAAACTAAATAACAAAAAAAAAAATTTTCTTTTAAATAAATAAATTAATATGTTAAACATACTCCTGTTTGTCGATCTTTTTCAAGTGCATTATGTAGATATTCCATTGACATATCATCATTTTCATTAAGCCATTGCATTACAAATGGTTCAAACCATCTTAAATTAAGATAATTTATTAAAAAAAAAAATAAAAAAAAATCTTTTCGAAATCTTCATGCTAAACATGCTTAGCCAAATAAAATTTAATCAATCAATTTATTACCGTTTAAATTCTTTAGGTGTGTAGAAACTGTAGATGAGTATGTATAGTTTTTTTTTTTTATTAAATAGATTTCTAATTAAGAAAAACAACAACAACAACAAAACCTAACTTACTTAGGATATTCAGGAACAATATTTTTTGCTTCTGGAATTATTTTAACTGATGTATCATAAAATTTTTTCACCATAAAATGTAAATTCATATAATCAGCACTTTTTATTTCACGATTTTCAGCTGGAACTCGAGCATGTTCTTTAAATAAAAAAGAAAAAATACACGAAAATCTAATAATAGAATTTGAATATTTAAAATATATCTCATCGATTATGAACTATATCAATAAACTATTATGTAGAGTTCATCGGACTGAAAATTTTCAAATCGAATCGATTCCAAAATTAGCCTGACAGGCTCTAATGCCGTCTTAAAAACATACAAGAGTCTGTAGTTTTGACAATGAAACGGAGACTGATCCATTGAATCGTTTCTTTTAATAATATATCGAGCAAAAATGAATTCAAACCCAATAGGTTTCAATATTGATTGGCTCTACCATTGCGTCTAACAATGTTGTCGATACCTGTCTTTTGACAATCTCAAGTATCGTTCTTATACTTAAATTTTCTACTAACGGAAAAATTTTTGTCACATATTTCAGCAGATATGCCATGTTATCCTATCACTAGACATATATATATATTTCTTTCTTCTAAAATATATTAAATAAAATAACCTTCTAAATGTTCTTTAAGATCAGTTGAAAATAATTTCCATAAAGTATCTGCACTGATATGGCCAACATTTACTTCTGATGGAAATCTA